TTCAACCATTGGGTAAACGAAAAACAAAAGGACGCCCCAAGAAAGTTAGCAAAGCTTTAAATTTGTAAATAAATGTAAATAAAACTGTGAAAATATTGTCTTTGTTAAAATTTATATGTTTATATGTTTATATGTATAAAAGTGTGATGCTGGAAAATTTGGTGATCAAAAGTATCTTTCTTTGGTGATCATTTGTATCTAAAGGCGTCTGGTGATCAAAAGTATCTTTTTTTGGTGATCATTTGTATCTAAAAGCGTTTGGTGATCAAAAGTATCTTTTTTTGGTGATCAAAAGTACCTTTACTCTTATTTTTTAAGTATAAATGATTCATTTACATTTATTTTCCAAAGTAACACTAAATTAACACCCCTAATCATTCAGCGTAACCGACAAGTTATGAACGAAAAGTTTTAACGTACTTTGAGGGCGGAAATTAAGATTCCAGACTCAAAAAATCGACTCTCCAAAATTTCAGTACGCCCAAGCTACCTGGAAACTGATAAAACTCTCACAGTGTTCATGGAGTAGGCATCGGGCTACAATATGACTAAATTGAAATTAACAAAACATCTAATCAAAGGAACCAGTCAGCGGCTTTCTGGAAACTGGTCCGAAAATCTTAAAAAGTTTTACGTATTTTTGATTTTCCGGTAAACTAATGTCTTAGTCTCCTCTTTCTGACGAATCAAACCCGAACTCGATAGCTGTGCGGGTTATCGAGTTATTCAATAGACAACCGAGTGGATTCTCTTTTAAAATGGACAGTAATCACTTCTGCAAAAATATTTAACCAAGAGATGTAAACCGCTGTCCGTTTGTAGCCTGTCGTTCAAGGAACATGTTTTGTCAAATGAGTATAGTGAACTTGCAAAGTCCGAGTATCAAGCAGTGTCTGTTTTCTGACTACGTGTCGTTTTTCCATGTATTTTACATTGTCCGCTCGTATTAGGAACAATGCAATGGAACGACCTCTAGTCAAACTTCCATTGATTATTCCTTTATTTTTTATGCTAATTAATTGATTTTTACGCCATTCAAATCAGCAGATCACTTCACACTTTGTCGTATAGAAAAATGAATGGCTAAGAAATTCTTTTGGAACGAATAAAATTCTCGTAACTTGAAAAATGCGTTTCTTTAGGAACAGGCACTCTCCAAGACAATAATCTCGAAACTTTCTCTCTCGTTTGGCTCGATGCTTCGGTCAATGATTCTCAAGAGAATCTAGATACTCAACAACGGCTTCGAACATCAATCAATCATTTGAAAACATTCAAAGAGCATCAAGAATGTGAACAATACGTTCGATCTGTTTCGAAAGGTGATCGAATTGTTTTTATTGTCAGTAGTCGTGCGGGTCAAGAATGCATCCCTCGCATCCATCAACTGAGACAAATCTCTTCGATCTTTGTCTATGCAATAGACAAAAGGATAAATGAACAATGGACCAACCAATTCAAAAAGGTAACCAACGTGTCGTGTTTCACAAATAGAGTTCAACATCTTTCGACCGAAGTTGACCTTTTCTTTTCATCTCCACTTTAACACCCGAACCCTCCACTCTGCTCGATCCAAAACATGAGACTAATATCAATTTTAACCGTAAAAAATTCACGTCTAAACTTTTTCAAATTATCAGAAGTCAGCATAAAAGGTGATCGAAGATGTCTCTATTGGATTTCAGGTTAAAGGTGTGATCACCCAGTCGGATGAACTTATCGCTCAAATTCAATCCAATCAAGAAAAGCAAAATCGCAACAAAGTTGACCAATTACTCTCGTTCAGCACTTTCAACTCTAAGACTGGTCACGGACAGTCAACAGTAGAACTCAGTGGGCAGTTTCTGCATTCACAACTGCTTATTGATTGTCTTCTTAGAATGGAATCCACTTCAACCGATAAAAATGAACTTATTTATCTCGCACAGAAAGAATACAAAGGTAATGAGAATGAACTCCGTGTTCTTCAGGAATTTCAACAAAGCTATTCACCCAATCGATCCTTGTGGTGGTACACGAGAGAATCGTTTCTCTTTCGTGTATTGAACAAAGCTCTTAGAGTGCAAAACATTGATTTACTCTTTCTATTTCGCTTCTTTATTCGTGACATCGAGCAACAACTCAAAGAAAACAAATGCTCATCACCAATTCGCGTTTATCGCGGTCAACTCATATCGAATGAAGAACTATAATCGCTCAAAGATTCGATTGGAGGATTTATCTCATTGAACTCGTTTCTCTCGACGAGTGTCGATCGTAAACAGGCTCTTGATTTTGTTCACAAGAACGATGCCAGTGATGATTTGCAGCGAGTGTTATTCGAGATCGATACCGATCCTCGAATCGACGGTGTCAAACCATTCGCCAACATCACTTCATTCAGTTTTTTTCCAGGCGAAACAGAAGTGTTGATGATGTTAGGATCGATCTTTCGAATCATCGATATTCATCTTGAAGGTCGAGTGTGGATCATTCAAATGAAATTGTCCAGCGATAATGATCACGATTTAAAGCTGATCTTTGATCACATGAAGAACGAATTAGCAGGCGGTGGAGAAACGAATCTCCTCTCATTCGGCATTGTGCTTCGAAAGATGGGAAAATTCGATGCGGCCGAGAAATACTATCTTCGTTTACTCAAAACATTGGCTCATGATCATCCAGACATTGTCAACTGCTATCATGCACTTGGTGTTGTAGCTAGAGAGAAAGGCGATTATGACTCGAGTCTCCAGTGGCATCAGAAATCGCTCGAGATCAAAATGCGAACACTAGAATCAGATGATCCTGGTCTCGCACACAGTCACAATAGTATTGGCAATGTCTACGATACCAAAGGAGATTACAGACGGGCACTCGAATCGTACGAGAAGGCATTGGTGATTTGGCAGCGAGCATTCGGCGAGGATCACTGGAAGGTAGCCATGTGTTTCAATAACATAGGTGGTATCTATCAGGAAGAGAAGAGGTACTCGGAGGCACTCAAGTACCATCAGAAGGCATTGAACATTCGTCAGAAATGTCTTCCTGTCGATCATCCTGACTTGGGTGAGTCACACAACAACATTGCCAGTGTTCATGGATGTCTCGGGCAGTATGATTTCGCACTGAAACATCTAAATCAGTCGCTCAGAATCTCGAAAAAGTCACTGCCTCCTCGACATCCCGATATTGGAATAACCCTCGAGAACATGGGTAATGTTTACGAGAATAAGGGTGAGTTGCAAGCAGCACTCTCGTACTTCAAAAAAGCAGCTACCATCTATCATGACGCATTACCTTCGAACCATCCTAATATTGTCAAAATCGAGGAGCTGATCCGACGTGTCTCATCTAAACTGAAATAAATCGATTTTCCTTTCAGTATGGATATGAAGAAACATTGTTCTCTTGATGTCATCCTGTATTTTCTTAACTATCCTTTAACTGGCACCGGTATTTGTGTTCAATTACCAGAGTAACATCGACGACTAGAAAACTGACTTTTTCTCACCAATTAATATACAGATTTTCCATTAGCGACAGCTGAACGACGAAGATGACATATGATAATGGGTGTGGCAAAGAATCTCAATCTCGTCATAATATGTTCGCATATAACGAGTGTGACAGTTGTGAAAGTACTTTTTGGGCTGGATATGGTATGAAATCACACACAAAGACAGCAAAGATAAGTCAGATCTATGATACGTAAAACGAGAGGCGTTTTAGAATGCAAATGAGTCCACTCGCTTTTTTTCATTCTAAGCTGTTGATTGGGATAGAAAGCACGCATTTAGATTATAAGTATTTATTCTTAGCTATTTAAGCTATCTATTGTTTCGGAATAAAGTTTTAAGTTGAAACGATAAAACTCATGGTAAATCATTGAGTGCGAAATGCAGAGATCCGCATAAACCCGTACAATAGGCTTTTGACCAAGCAATAGCCATGCAAATACAGGATCTAGAACAATATCGTACGATAAAAAAAAGCTTCGAACGACATGACTATTCTCCTGCATTAAAAGAAGTGCACTCTTTCAAATCAGGCGTTGAAAAGTTTCCTTGATCTTTTATTATCTGTAAACTTATGTCAAGATTTATAGATAGACAAAACAAGTTTGGAATCATTGACGAAGCCACAATTACGGGAGCGACTGCATTGCCTTTCTGTTTTTGTCTATGATATCATGAAAGCAAAGAAATTCTTAGCATCAGTGTTTGAAGACTACGCAAACAAAAAGCTTAAAGTCCCTTGACTGAATGAGTTTTATAATACAAGGAGACAATTAGGCCATAAATTAGATTGAAGAAAATGCGCTAATATGAGAATCATAATTAGACGGTATCGCAAGGAGTGCTTTATTTTTAATTTTACACTTTAAGATTTGGAAAAATAGGCCGCCTTAATTAGCTTTTCTAGCGTTATATGATGCTGTTCCATAAATAGCATCAGATGTCGTAGCGGAAGAACGATACAAAAAGTAATGTAATCATATCTGCATTGCTGAATAATAATTATAACTACCGTAACACAGTGGGCAACTAAGCGGACATTAGGCCAAAAAGTCGATTTTATCTATCTTGAAATACAAATAGTGCAAAATGTAGCTCTTGAAATTCTCTATCGAATGGTGTATAAACGTCTATTGTGAAA